GGGGTCTGGGTGCTCCTGGGAGCCATGTGTGAGGGAGAGTCCTGCATGTCATCCCAGCCTCGAGCCACATGGGCCTGATTAAATAACTCTGAAAGTGTTGCATGGGAAATACTGGGAAAGTGCTCAGGCTGCAGATGGACCCTGGGCCAGGAGTTTGAGGCCCCTGGTTTAAAAATTAAACAGAGTAGTAAATAAAAAGAAATGGTATTCAGTTATTCCAGGTTTAATGACTTGCATGACTCCATAACAAATGTACTCAGGTTACAGAAAGATTTCCTGTCCACAATGTAGGTACTAAATACAATGTCTGCAAACTCATCCTGCGGTCCAACAACCAAGTTGTAGTCTTTCTGACAAAAGGATAACAGTAAAAGACCTACAGTGGAATTGAGTCAGAAGCAGAACTGAATACTGATTATTCCCCCATGGCTACATTGTGCTACAATAGAAGAACAGATTTAAAAACTAGGGATGTAAGCGATTAGTTGACTATCCAATAAGCTTATGCTAGTGACAGTCAACTAGTGATGCAACTAGTCACTTCTCCCCCCTTTAGTTAAATAATCTAAATTTAACATACCTAATGCAAGTTAAATTCTTTGACTAAAATAAAACTTGAATTGAAATACACCTAAGAAACAGATCTGTGGTATCATTTTTTATACAAAGTCTGTTTGGTGGCTATAAACTCACTATTACTCTGGCCTTTAGGCAAACTGAAAGGATTCACAAACTGTTACTTGTGTACAATGCAAGTACTTACCATATATACTCAAACATAAGTCTGTTCATTTATAAGCCAACCCCCCAAATTTAGAGAGAAAAAGTGGTAAAAAAGTCACTGACATTTATAAGCTGACACCAGAGTACAGTGATCTGGGACCATATAAATGGGCCAGTGACTTTTTACCATTTTTTTCCTTTAAGTTTGGGAGGTTGGGTCCCAGACGCTGAGGCTCTGCTTTTTAAATTTAGTGCCTCTGCCTTTTAAATGCCTGGTGGCTCTTACTACACTTAAAAAGCAGAGCCACAGAGATACTGATGCCTTTTAGAACCCATTCATAAGCCAACCTCCACTCTTCACAGCAGGATTTGTTTCCAAAAAAATCAGCTTATGAATGAGTATATATGGTAAGCACATTACAAAAGCTTGGCCAGACACCTGTAAAGTTAATTTCAGATTTGTTTAACCAGAAAGTCCATCCTTAGGTTGAACACACTCATAGCTTTATAAATTCAATGATACAAAGTTCTGGATGCATGTGTCAAGAATTCTCAGTGATAGAATAGGCCCAATAGCTGCTGCAATGCCTTACTGTAAGGGAAAATCAGGCATGAGCATAGGGACTGGACTCCCCTATTCCCACTTCACATAGCATCCATCTTACTCACACTGCCATCTTGGTTTTGCATGCGAGTTCCACAAAGAACAATTGATAAAATTTTCAACTGTATGTAAGGATTTAGGAGCTTAAGTGTCATTTTCAAACAATTTAAACACTTCAAAGCTTCTGTTATTGACAAAGAAAGATTTATATTCCCAAGTTAAGTAGGTGCTTTAGAAAAATTTATTAAGTATGTGCTGTAACAGCAAAGTACACAAAGGACCACTCCAAAGCTGGAAAGCAAATGTCCAATTAAAAACTCAATTCACAATAAAACAGCCACCTTACTGAGGCTGGAAAGGTAGAAGAAATGTCATGATTACCTCTTCAGGTTAATGTTCTCACTGTTAGTCTATCGGTCTAGATCTGTGTGTCACTAAACTGTTGCCTCAGGACCCCTGCAAGTTTTGCCTTCAAGCTAAGATTCTATTTGCAGCATCCATTAAAAACAAGCAAAAAACAAAAAGAACTACCAAGATCTCCAAAGAGCAGTCAGATTAATTTTTTTTTAAAGTAAATATGTCTCCCATAACTGAACAAAGTCCAACCTTAACCATCACACAGGAGGGATTTGCAAGAAACTTTCTAACTCTGAGACAGGCTATATTTTATTTTAATTGCCCCACTTCCCATGACTGACCTGTGTATATTTATTATCAATTGGTACATGCCTGCATGCCTTCATTCCCACACACTTTGTATCCTCCAAAGTTTATTAAAGGAAAAGCATCATTTGATTATATTTTCAGCTAAAGGACATTTTGTCCAGAGAGAAGTTAAGGCCCACTTCTTGCAATTAACTCTGCAGAGTCAAATCTCATGCCTATTCTGATTTGGGTGGGTCTGGGCCTATACACAATCAGGTGGAGGATTGGTCCCAAAATAACTACTTGGAAATAAGGGAACCTGGCTAAAGCAGAATTCCCTGTCAAGTGTGAAGTTAAAAGCATTACTTTCAAGTTGACAATGTTCCTATCAGTCTATGCACTTGCCTCCAGTATCTTGATTTTCTGTTATAAGCATTATAAACCCTAACTTACATAGCTTTGCAGGCAAACAGCTGGCTGATGAGCCATAATAAGTTTTATAAATTGCATGAAGAAAATTAAAACCTGATAACCTGCTTTCTTAATTAAATATTGTCTATAACTGTAATATTCTAAAACTGGAACATGACATCACCCCCTTCCTCCAGTTTATGGTCAGACTGCCTGATCACTAAGTGAGAAGCTTGTGAAATGATGGCTTTTGCGGAACTGTAGATAATGCAGAGTCTTCAGCAGCCTTTGCAGACAGCAGCACCCAGCAAGAAGAGAGGGAGTGATAAACTGCAACTCATTCTGCATGTCAAAATACACCGTCATAGAAACACAGACATTAAGTAGTTTCAACCTAGGGATATAATAGTATAACCGTTTAACAGAGGCAGCAGCACCAGGCAGCAGCCAGTACAAGCAGGGAGCTGGCTTAAAATGCAACTTCTGGCACACACCAGCTCCTGAGGAGCCAGCTGCTGCCCAATGCTGCAGGCTCTGCAGTATAAAGCTTATACTGCAGCACCCACAGCACAGCCAGCACTCCAGGAGTGAGGACAGCCGGCTCTGCTCCTGGAGAGCCAGCTGCACTGCCAGCTCTGCAGTATAAACTTTATATTGCAGAGCCTACAGCTTGTCACCATGTAACCACTGAGATTCAGCAGTTAAAAAGTGATTAGTTAGGTAACTGTGTAACATCCCTATGTTAGCCAAGGAATTTTTTTGCTCCTTTGTAACATATGAAGGGGACCAGAAAGTGGTTTATTTTAAATTCCCCTTGCTTTTGTTCTAAGTGGTTTTTCTGTAGGACCTACCAGATATCTCAGAGGATACTGCCTATCAGTTCTCATGCTAACTAAAAGGGAGCAGAGTTGAAGAATCTTTGGGGAAAAAATGCCTTTGTTAAAGTATTACCTACTGAAATTAGATGACAGATGCACGCAAGTTTTAAACAATTACTAAAAATCCTCTCTTGCTCATCCTTCCCTCTCTTGATTTGTGAGATCAGTGAAGTAGTTTTCCAGATATCACAGCTCTGGCTGACACTTTCTAAACAATTTCCCATCATAACAGCAATTCATGACAATTTGTGCTTGCAGTGTTAGCAATAACAGCTTAGACTAAAAAAAATCAGCACTTCACTGTCATTAATTTTGCTCAGAATCAGTATAACTGTATAACTGGCATGGTATACACTACACTAGGGCCCTGATTCAACATAAATAGTCCCTGATACCTGTGCAGGACTCTATTGAAGTCAACTGGGGCTGTGCACTGGCCCATGGATCAATATGGACAATGGCAGGTTTTGGTCAGGTGTGTTCTAGCTCTGCTGGGTACCATACAGGGCCCATAAAGAACGAAAAAATGGGTTCAAATCCCATTTTTGCCCCTTTGCAGATCTTTAGGTGGCACCACCAACTTAGGGGGAAAAAAATCAACTTTCTGTACGACTTCCCCCTGACATTCATGTATAAATAAAACAGAAATGGAGGGGGGTGGGAAGGGAGAAGGTTTCTATTTCTCTGTACACAAAATATTAGATACACATAGTAAACCAACAATCACTTGCAGTCTTGCACCATTTCCTCTGCATGACTTCTGCTTGGGACTGATTCCCAGCAAAAGGAAAACTTTTGAAAAAAGTGATTTGATTATAGGGCATCCCCACTATAAATCTCCTGGTATACATCAGTTCGGCACTAATGTTGCTGATGCTTGTAGGAATGGCTATATTGTAAGTCCTCCCATTTTCCATCACACACACACACACACACACAAAATTTGAACAAATGGAACTCTGCTGCAGGGGAAAAAAAAGTCTTGCTTTACATCGCTTTGCTATACATCCACAGTTTTTGGAACATATCTTGGATGTATAGCAAGGATGCCCTGTATATAACTATAGAAACCGACAAAGAAACACACTCTAGGTGAACTACAGGTACCCATTTTAAACTCCATTTGAACATAATAAAATTTCTAGATAACAATGGTGTATACCCTTTAATGGTGTATACACTGAATAATTTCCAGTAATGGGATTATATCCTACAAGGGCTAGGGAAGAGAGAAGGTGACTGTATCCGGCAAGCCTGCTTCATCCCTACCTTCTGGACCAGGGGTCGGGAGAGACACAAGAGGAAAAAAATGCATTCTGTGACCGCTCCCATCAGAAACCATGTCAGCTCAGAGCCGGGAAAACACAGACGGGGAGAGCAGGTGGCTTTGCAGCGAGGCTTTCGCCACTCCCTGTTTTGTTTGCATTTCACAAACCTGCTGCGTCAAGCTGGCCGCGACTCCAAACGGAGACTTGGGGAGCAGGGAGTCCAGCCAATACACAGCAGCCCGCCCCAGCCCCATCTCTGCGCCCACTGTGCGGCCCACAGCCCCCGCGGCACAGACTCACCCGCAGCCCAGGGGCCTGAGCGAGGCTGCTGCACCCGCCACCCTCCCAACAGCCTCTCCCCAGGCTCCCCCGCCAGCCCTCGGCCTGGACCCCTACAGCCGCAAGCGCCCCCCAGAGCCCCCCGGCCCGCACAGTGCCCGCCCATGGGCCCGCAGAGGTTGCGGCGGGTACCTTGGTGGTGCGGATGTGCTCCATGCTCGCACCTGCCGCTGCGCCCAGTCTCGCGCCCCGCAGCCGCTGTCACCTAGAGACACTTCCTGGAAGGGAGAGCCGGCGAGGGAGCGTCCCGGAAGTGCCTGGGAAGAGGCCACACAACGCCCCCTGCCGGCTGGGGGACTCTTACAGCAGCCCCTGTTGCGGCCCCGCCCAGGCGCTGCGGGGGGCGGAGGGAAGGCTGGATGTGACGGGTGCTGAACCCGCCCCTATTTTAAAGGGCCCGCAGCCCTGCCCAGCAGCATCACCTCGGGTTCCCCACAGTGAGAGCCAGCCACGGCGGTCAGCCCCTTGCCCAGCTAGCATTGATGGGGAGATTAGGGTCTCTCCCGGGCCGCCAGCACCTCTGCAGGGCAAGGCCCAGACACCAGTAAACCCCACTTCAGACTGGGGGTTCATCCCAAAACCTCTAACAATTCTGAACCCTAACATGTTACCCACCCTACATTAAAAAAACCCAGCCCTCTAGAGGGAGGCAAGAGTCCTAGCTCCAATCCTTTACTCTGGGGCTATGTCTACACTGGCGCGATCTTGCGAATGAGGCTAAGCATGGAATATCATCAAGCCTCATTTGCATATCTAATGAGCCACCATTTTGCGGAGAGGCTCTTGCGCCAGAAGGAGCTCTTCTACACTGCCCCTTCTTGTGCAAGAAAAACCCTCTTGCATAATGCTGTTACGCTGATTATTTTCAGGAATAACAGCATTGCACAAGAGGGTTTTTCTTGTGCAAGAACGTGAAGTGTAGAGAGCTCCTTCTGGCACAAGAACCTCTTCTGCAAAAATGGTGGCTCATTAGATATGCAAATGAGGCCTGGCGATATTCCACGCTTAGCCTCATTTGCATTAGCTCTGGCGCAAGATCACGCCAATGTAGACAGAGCTTAAGAGATGTCCCTGACCCACTTCTCCCTGTTTTGGTGCTTTACATGCTACATCACACAGCAAGTCAATATACAGGCCACTTTATTTTATGTTGCTGAACGTCACAACTTAATTGACTGTTATAAATTCTTGGGCAAGGTCATCCTTAGGAATTACAGGGCCCTACATGGGATTATAAAATGTTGCCTCACTGACCTCAGTGAATTAAAGGGGCCAAATTGTACCACACCAACCTGCCTGCTCACCAGTCCCACAGGCAGAGTCCCTCAGCTGTTAGCCAGAGCAAGTCCCCCTCAACCTGTGTGGAGTGAAGCCAGGTGAGCAGAGCAAACCCATCTGGCCCTGACTCACAGCCACACTTCCTTCCCTCCTGGCCCAGCTCTGCTCCTCCACCCACCACAAATAAGCTACCAGCTAATTTTTGCAAGGAGGGTGATGCTCACACCTGACTTGGGCCAGTGGAGAGTAGGGAGAGAGCAGGCAGTTGGCAGCATAAATACAGACAACCCCCCCTCCCCCGTGCCCCTAATCCCTGCTCTCCTTCACTGCTAACCCCTGCATCCCCTCCTACATTCATGTGGGGAAATTGACCTGGATGCACAAAGCAGCTGAACCTGCTTGCTTGCTCCCCCAGGACTGCTGCTCCTGTGCCCCAACACCCCGGTGACGGGGAGCAAGAAGCAACATCAGGGCTCTAAAAAAACCAAACAGTTAAAATCCAAAGCTGGCCAAATACCAGCCATATGCTGCCCCCACTAAAAGGGAATCATCATACTATCTCATCCCTTCACATTTCTCATAGGTACTGCCAAGCAGGGATGTAAAAAGTCATTAAAAATGTAAAATCCTAGTGGTTAGATGGTTACATGTGCTACGGGCTATGCAGTATAAAGCTTAAAAAAACCAAACAGTTAAAATCCAAAGCTGGCCAAATACCAGCCATATGCTGCCCCCACTAAAAGGGAATCATCATACTATCTCATCCCTTCACATTTCTCATAGGTACTGCCAAGCAGGGATGTAAAAAGTCATTAAAAATGTAAAATCCTAGTGGTTAGATGGTTACATGTGCTACGGGCTATGCAGTATAAAGCTTAAATAAGCCCCCCCAAAAAGGGGCCCCCCCCGCCAGCCAGCCAGAGCATCCTCTGTCTGTGGTCAGCAGGAGCAGCTCTCTGCCTGGCATAGCTGGGGAGCTGCTCCAGCCCCTACCAGTTAAAGGGAACCATTAAGTCTTATCTGTTAAGAGTGAGGCTTGAATTAAATATTTGTATGAAATTGGGGTGAATGTAAAAAATCTTTAAAACATTTTTAAAATAAAAAATAACTCATTTACATGGAGTTGCGGGGGAGAGAAAATGCCCCTGCCAGCCATGGAGAATGGGGGAAGAGAGAAGGCCTCTGGCAGCAGAGGGGTTTGGAGGGAGAGAGAAGGCCCCTGGCAGCCATGAGGGGGAAAGAAAGCCCAGCCATATGGAACCCCCTACATTGAGCCCTTCTTTGTGCCTCAACCCTCCCCCGGACCCCCCCCCCCCCCCCCCCCCCCCCACTTCTACCCCACCCTCAGCTCCCTGCCCTGAAGGATCACAGTAACAGCAAGTATGTTGTAGAATGGTACATTCCTATTTTTGAGCTAAAGTCATTAATTATTAAATAAGATGTCCCAAAATTGATCTTTGAAGAAATCTATTGGAACCTTGTCCTACTTGATAGGTCTTTTCTGCAAAAGCCATTATCACCCCTGAATTAACCAGTTCCTCCCCACATTACAATTTTTTTATTAATCCCCATTTTAACAAATAATTTCTCATATGGCACCATATCAAGTGCAGTTGATCAGAACAATTGCATTTCCCATGTCTAAAAAATCAGCTATCTTATCATAGAAAGATATTAGATTAGTATGGCACAATCTACCTTCAGTAAATACAAGTTTCATTTTATCCCATTTTCCATTTACCTCCATGTTTTTAATTATTCTTTCTTTCAAAATTTGTTCAAATGCCTTGCATACTCTTGAGGTCATATTGATGTGTCTGTAGTTACCTGAATCAATTCTTACCATTTTCTTAAATATAGGTACAATGTTTGTAATTCACCAGTCAGACGATACCATCCCTGATTTGACAGATTTATTATTAATAGACTTACTATTGTCCATCATTACTAGACTTGCAGTTTCATGTGCAAGTTCTGTGCATATTCTGGGATAGAGATTGTCCAGCTCCCTGGATTTGAGCACAATACATTTTGCTTCTGTGCAGTTTTTCTGACTGGTGTGCACTGGAATTTTCTCTTGGAAGACCATCTTTACAAAATTATACAGGCAGTCCCCGAGTTACGCGGATCCGACTTATGTCGGATCCGCAGTTACGAATGGGGCCCTTCCTCTCCCTGGTCTCCAGCAGACCAGGGAGAGGAAGCAAAGCGGCAGAACACGCAGGCAGCGGACAGGGCTGTCCGCTGCCCACGTGCTCTGCGGCTTGGCTCTGCTTTGCCCCGTCCCCCCGTCCTCCTGGTCTGCAGACCAGGGGGACGAGGGGGGAAAGCAGAGCCAAG